TATAGCAAATTGGGGACGTAGAAAATGCAGGAATTGGGGAACGTAGCGATTTGGGGATGTACCAATCTGTGAATGCAGGAATTGGGGAACGTAGCGATTTGGGGATGTACCAATCTGTGAATGCAGGAATTGGGGAACGTAGCGATTTGGGGATGTACCAATCTGTGAATGCAGGAATTGGGGAACGTAGCGATTTGGGGATGTACCAATCTGTGAATGCAGGAATTGGGGAACGTAGCGATTTGGGGATGTACCAATCTGTGAATGCAGGAATTGGGGAACGTAGCGATTTGGGGATGTACCAATCTGTGAATGCAGGAATTGGGGAACGTAGCGATTTGGGGATGTACCAATCTGTGAATGCAGGAATTGGGGAACGTAGCGATTTGGGGATGTACCAATCTGTGAATGCAGGAATTGGGGAACGTAGCGATTTGGGGATGTACCGATCTGTGGGTGTAGGAATTTGGAAATGTAGCGATTTAGGGATATATCAATTTGGGGATGTAGCAATTCGGTAATATACTGATTTGGGGATGTGGCGATCTATGGGTGTTGGAATTCGGTGATGTACCGATTTATGAAAGTAGAAAATTGGGTATATAGCGAATTAGGATTGTATCGATTTGGATATGTAAGAATTTAGAAATGTGAAGGTAATTAGTAATGTATTAACTTAAGAATGTAAGAATTTAGAAATATAAGAATTCATTAATATAAGTATTCCTAAATATCAAAATTTGGAGATATTACTCTTGCCTTAATTAGTGTATATGACCGCTGGAACTAATTCTACCGCCGAAAATACGTGTGAGGCGTTCATTTTCTCTTTCAAACGCTTGAGTCAGTCTCTTCACGCGTCATCTTGTGGTTGACGGTACACATGGTTTCAAAGCGTTAGTTTTATTAAATCAACACGAGTTCTTATTAAACTGTACGCAATTCTTTATTAACACTAGAACTACCAACCAGTCAAAATGACTGGTTTCAGATTTCTCATTTTAAATTACAAAATTTTATTGTCGTGATTCTATGGAAATGTTATTTGATGCTTTGGTATTTATTTATTTCCCTTTTTATTTTATTTTTCATTCTTCGATAAACGAGCATTTAGTGTCGGTAGTTCTAATGTTAATACATGTCTAGAATTTCTTTCTGAATACAAAATGAAAATCTATAGAATTGGAAAAGTGTTTAATACAAATTATGTATTGTATTATTTAAATTAAAGGAAAATTCAGTATGTTCTAAATATAGGCTACTCTTGAAATTTTCTACATTGATAATAAATCTACATAGATATTTTGGAATGTTAAAAAGTGTGCTCGAGAAGACCATAAAATAAATTTAAATGTATACATCTGTATAGTTAATTTTGTATTTGAATTTGAAGACAGGAATACCTTATTAAGTTTTAAGTATATCCGTTTTAACGTGTTTCCCTGACAGTTTTCAATTTTTCGAATTTTTGCCTTTTACGTGGACCGCGGAATGTTACTCGATAAATTATAAACGAGCGTGAGAGGAAAACTCGAATATAAAAAGAGGAAATCGCTGAAATTACATTTGCATCCCGTAAATTCTGAAAATTTACTTACGGAACGTGCGATTGAATTTCGGATATAAATGTGAGATGTTTCGGATGATTACCAGAATTAAATACAATTTTAATCAGTGAACTTGATAAAATGATAATTAGTCAAGTTAAATCCACGATGTTCACATGCTTTTGTACGGAATTATTTATAGTTTGATTTAATAACAATTTTCGTTTAAAATAAATCAGTTGTCAGATTATTTAACTCCTCTATATTGTTTGTCTTTTCAAGCAATCGACTTCATAATAAAAATATAAACAAGATATATTATGTATTTTATTATAAAATTGTATTCTGTTATGAAATTTATACGAATATCTTACTATCGGACTTTATGATATTTTATTTTTAATTTTTATAGTATTGTTACAAAAATATAAATCTTTTACTTAGGATAACTTTGAGACGAACTAGTGAATGGGTCAATAATATCACAATAGTGTTATCTCAGAAACAAATGAAACTGCTTCCTTTAAGGCACAAATATCTACCTCAACAATTGCCTCGTTTATCAGCCATAACCTCAAAAAGGTGAAGAAATATTGCTCAACAAAATGGATCTCGGAATAGTGAGGCAAATATTCATAGGAGTAATTTGTAAGTATTGGCATCTTTGTGAACGAACTGGAAATATCAGTTGCATTCAATATTGGAATAACTATTGTTGATATAATATTGACTATGGCATTCAATGTTAAAATACATGTGGTGGATGAAATATTTATTGTAGTATTCAATATTGAAATTAATATAGCAAATATAATGCTAACTGCAGTATTCAATACTGAAATAAATAGTGTAAATATAATACTAACTGCAGTATTCAATAATAAAATAAATATAGAAAATATTAGAAACTTTGCTAACTGTAATATTCAATATTAAACTGACTGTACTAAATATAATAGTAACTAAGGAATTTAGTATTGAAATAACTAAAGTAAATATAATGCTAACTATAGTATTGAATATTGAAATAAATAGTGTAAATATAATACTAACTGTAGTATTCAATATTAAAATAAATATAGAGAATATTAGAAACTTTTGTAACTGTAATATTCAATGTTAATCTAACTGCAGTAAATATAATAGTAACTAAGAAATTTAGTATTGAAATAACTAAAGTAAATATAATGCTAACTATAGTATTCAATATTGAAATAAATAGTGTAAATATAATACTAACTACAGTATTCAATATTAAAATAAATATAGAAACTATTAGAAACTTTGCTAACTATAATATGCAATATTAAACTAACTGTACTAAATATAATACTAATTAAAGAATTTAGTATAGAAATAATTATAGCAAATATAATACTAACTGCAGTCTTTAATAATAAAATATATATAGAAAATATTAGAAACTTTGCTAACTGTAATATTCAATATTAAACTAACTGTACTAAATATAATACTAACTATAGTATTTAATACCTAAATAATACTACCAAATATAATCCCAACTACCCTATTCAATACTAAAATAAACACAGTCAAAATAATACCAAATACAGCATTCAAAACTAAAACCAAAACCCACCATCAAAAGGGTAAAAGGATTGAAACTTTGAAACAAATACACAGGTAACCTTTTGGTGATCGATAGCGGATTACACGAGGGCTGGAGTACTCCAATTATACCAAAATTCGAACGCGATGACCCAGTCAGAGTACCCTCCGACAAATTAGTCTGGGTAGTGAATTTGATGTACGTCGGAGTAGGTCTTGGTTCGATCGTACCGTTTCTTTTGATGGACAGAATTGGTCGTAAAGGAACGTTACTATTCGCCACGATACCAAAGATTTCTGCCTGGATTCTGATCGGTTTCGCGAACACTATTACACAACTTTATGCCGGTCGAATATTAGCTGGCGTAGGATGTGGAATAACGTACGCAGTTATGCCGATGTACCTTGGTGAAGTTAGCAGCAAGAGGACACGTGGTCCTTTAGGTATTATTTTTTATTTTTTTACAACATTCTTTTCCTGTTTCATTTTTGTTTTCAACACTACTCCTTTCTTACTTCATTTTTGTTTTCAACACTATTCTTTTCTTGTTTCATTTTTGTTTTTCAGCACTATTCTTTTCTTACTTCATTTTTTCACTCTACTTCATTATTTACCATGACACCACATAATTTTGCATAGCTTACGAATAGTTTAATTTTTTCCACGTACAGAAGGTGTTCGATATTATCCAATATTTAAGTTAAATTTGATAGAAGTTCAACTTTCATGGAAGTTGACTTTTATAGAAGTTAAACAGCTTTTACAGAAATTATAACTTTAGCCATCGTTCAACGCACAGGTGCTTTATTTCGAAATAACGTGCTCAAAGAACACGTTCATCTTGCATCCTTCAAAAAATTAATAACTTGCTCTGCTTTTGCTTCATCGATTAACAATCACGCAGGCATAATTTCAAAATAAAACAAAGTGTTCAAAGAATTAACACCTTCATAACTCTATCACTCAGCAAACCATTTACAAAAGGTTACTCTGCTTTTGTCAAATAAATGCAACATCATTTAACAATCATAGGTTCACAGTTCCAAAATAGAACAAAATGTTCAAAAAACCTTCACAAGTCTATCATCTTACAAACCATCAGCAAAGAATTAACTTCCTCTGCTTTTGTCAAATAAATGCACCATCATTTAACAATCATAGGTTCATAATTCCAAAACAGAACAAAATGCTCAAAAAACCTTCACAAGTCTATCATCTTACAGATCATTTGCAAAGAATTAACTTTCTCTGCTTTTATCAAATAAATCCATCATCGTTTAACAATCATAGGTACATTTCAAAAAGAAATGTTCAAAAAAGCCTTCGCATCCTAACACCATCAGAGTTAGCCTCTCTATCAAGTACGTCCATCATCGTTTAACAAACCCAGTTCGAAATGCCCAAAGAAAGCTTGACACCCAGTTGCAAAATCATCGATCATTCGGCTAACGTCAGTCGTCAGAAAATCCGGGCTAAGCAAATGGAGTTACGCAGGTACACTGATGGCGGTGCTGTTGAACACGGGTATGATGTTAGCGTACGCGATCGGTCTGTGGGTATCACGGTACACCATGTCGATGATATCGGTGACGATCCCCCTCGTGTTCCTGGTGATGTTCATCTGGCTACCGGAGAGTTCTGTGTTCCTCACGAAGAAGAACAAGCTGACGTCCGCGGAGCGAACGTTGCAGTGGGCGTTGGGCAAAGACGACGTCGTGGAGGAGCTGGAGGAGATCAAACGTATCGTGGCCAGCGAGGATTCCAAGACCGTGATGACGTTCAGTCGATCGTGCAAGGAGATGTTCACCAAGACTCAGAATCTGAGAGCTTTTCGCATCGCGGTGATCGTTCTGAGCGCTCTAACGTTAACGGGAGCCACGCCGCTTTTAGCTTATCAATCGTTCATTTTCGAAGAGGCTGGTTTCGACGTTCCCACCAATGTCAGCATAGTGACCACCGGCTGCGCCATTGTGTTGGCGGGCAGTGTGTGCGTGATGCTGGTCAGGATTACCGGCAAAAGGTTGTTGCTTCTGATTTCGACACCAATTTGCGTGTTGTCCCTGACGATAATGGGCATCTTCTTTGGTCTGCTGTCGGGCGGACACGACGTCTCGAAAATGCGATGGGTGCCCTCCGTGTTCCTGGTGATTTATGTGCTGGGATACGGGCTGGCTCTGAATCCCATACCCCTAGCGTACGTTGGAGAAATCTTCCATGTCGATGTGAAGGTACCTGCGGCCATTTTCGGATCCCTCTTTTACGCCGTCACCACTACTGCGGTAGTTAAGTTCTATCAGGTACGTGGATTAATCGATAATGTGGATTTTGTGATGTCTTGGGTAGTTTGTATTACTCAGTTGGGTAGTAAAGAGTTATGAAGTTAAGGTGGATACTGAGTTATTGAGTTAAGATAGGACTGACTACTAATTTTATTGGTAGCTGATTTTAGGTGGTCATTGAGCTAAATTTATTTAGTAGTAACAGGTCAGCTATGTCTTAGTACTAGGTCAGCTAGGTTTAGTTAGTGCTATGGTATATGATAAGTTTACTTAGGACCAGGTTATTAAGCTAAGTCTATTGAGTCAGTACTACGTCACTGAGCTAAGTTTACTTAATACCGAGTTAGGTATACGAAGTACTATGTTACAATGCTAGCTTTACTTGATACTATCTTACTAACCTAACTGTATTTAATTATTACTCAGACCCTGAGCTAAGTTACTTAATACTGAATTACTAAGCTAACTCACCTACTTATCGCTAACTTACTAATCTAAGGTAACTTGTCAGTCAGCCCAGAAAGTCCTCTAGATTTTCATCAACCAATTACGAATCCATAAACTACTTTTCTTCATAATTTTGGAAAAAAATTATGTAACTAACTAGCTCATAAAAATCAAAAACTACTCAATATTGCAAAACATAAAATTGAACAATAAGCAAAATAAAATTATGTAGAACATCAGGATAACACCACATAAATTTTTAAATTCTTAAAATCTGTGGTAAATTTTATTTTGAATAATTTATTCAGTTACCTCATGCGGTTAATCTTTTTGAAATATTACTAGGACTTAATTATTATTATTACGTGCACCCAGAAAAGTTTTAAAGAAAATAATAAAGCGTTTTCATGATAAAACCAGGATAAAGTCGTATCAGCATAATCGCCATTAACGGTCTAATGCTTTTTTATGCAAAATAATCCGGAAAATCGATAGGTACAAAAATATACAGTTAGATTAAAAAGAACGAAATGCAGGTTTACATTTTAAAAAATTCAAATTGCATATTCAATTAGAATTCAGTGCCCAAAAAAATGTATAAAATATTTCTAATTTTTGTGAATTTTATTTTTGATACTTAAAATGTTTCGTGAGTTATTAATTTATTATAATGCCAAACTCTAATGGTTTTTTTAGCTAGAATTTGCAAAGAATTTTCGTAAGAAATTATATAAATATCGAAGTGTATGTAATAAAGCTTTGACTTAAAGACACTCAATACATCATACAAGAGATACATCAAGAATATTAACGAAAGAAAATGGAGAGATTAAAATTGAATTAAAATTGCAACAAATGTAGCGATTTACTGCTTAAAATTGAAGTTATGAAATACTTTTTTAATTTGATCTCCAGTTATCAGGCAGTAAAATTCATATCTGTATTTGCACCTAATTGCAACTTTTGTGTTATTAAATTGAACGAGACGGTACACCAGTATTAAGCCGTGTGCAATCACAGTTAAGTTCAAAAGCTTAGCAAAGAATAATGTTTCAATCTTTCGAGTTGAATCGAGAAGGGTCGAGACGTTCGAGAGTAAAGTCAATAGTGTGAAAACATTTTCGTAACGCATTAATGGAACGCGGAAACAATGAAGAGCTTACAAAATATTTTCCCAAGACGACCTGAATTCGCTATTACTTTATTAGCAGAGCGAAACGTCAAGATCTGCTTTAACTGATCAACGTTTTTCAACTTTTCATCGATTAATTCTACCCTTTCATGGATATCGGCGACCAATTATTAATTTTTATATTTTTGAGTCATTATTCATTTTTTCGTTGATTATCAGTTTAATATTATTTTTAGTGGATCGGTAAGGAAAATTTATTTGTGAGACCACTTTGAGAAAATGACGTATAATAAATTAAATAATAAAATATTATGTGCTAAATTAACTAAACACCACTAATCTTTTAAATAAAACAGTATTAACTTTAATATTAACATAGTTACGTATTGGTACACGAAATATTTTTAATACAGAACATCATTTAACGAACAAATACGATTTATTTATCTTATAGGTTCTGAAAGAGTCCTATGGAACATTCATGCCCATGTTCTCGTTCACTGTGATTACTTTCCTCTTGTGGCTGTTAATTTATCGATACGTGCCGGAAACAGAAGGGAAAACCTTGGAAGAAATACAAACAGAGCTACGAACAAAAAACTGACATTGTTAATGAAACAAATAAAATTCTGTACATTGAAATACTGCGAATCCTTCCTTTCCTGATACGGAAACTTAAAATATTATTACTTAAAATATTTTAGAAACGAGAGAAAAATGAATAAAAATTTTATTGACTCGTAAATTTTGGCATCACTCACAAATGAAATTTGGTATCAAAAAATAAATCACAGAAGTGTAATTAGGTGAGACAATGGAATTTGAAATGAACTTACATTCAAATCTTTTTTAGTTTACATTCAAATCTGTTGAGACATGATTAAACGTAACATGATTAAATATAACAATATTTTTTTCTAAGACAATCAAATATTTTTCAAAAGCAGACTCTTCATAAGAGAGTTACTTTCTAATTCATCATCTATTATAAAGACTGCAATAGCACCCATTACGAGATTACATAATTAATTCCATCAAAAGAAAGTATCATCTGAAAGTTTCCTGTGCTAAATAATCTAATCGTTGTAAATGTAACACGGACGTCCAAGTACAAACTGATTACTTAAACATCCTGATCGCGGAGTTCGGAGAAGGAGGTGAAAAAAGAATGAGGCGGACGATTTCCTTGGAATCAAACACGACGAAGAGGGCAAACTGTAATTTCGACAAATTACACTCGAAACTAGGTAAGAGATGGAGGGAGGTGAAAGGAGGAGGTGGAAAAGAGCCGTGGGACTCGTTTGATCGTGAAGTTCTCGTGTGCAAAGAGAATCGCTAAGCAGCGACACCGTGCAAGGGCTCGTTCTCTCACGCTTGCATTCCGCTCAAAACTATTTGAGTTTCAGCTGAAAAACGCGCGTGCCCCGTAACTGAACCGTGTTTCCACCCTAACTTTCCACGTTCTGTTTATTTGGAGCGGGTCGTTGCTGATTTGTTTGCGCTCGCCGCGTCATACGAAATTTTACCGAGCTAAGCACACACTTTACCGGTTTGCACGCGTTCGACAATTTATATTTCCCTCCTTTTTCTCGCTTTGTCGCTTCCGTTCAAACAATGCGGTATCCGATACCATATTTTTGCGGTGTATTCGGGGACTGTAAGTCATATTTAACTTAGGTGATAAAATTTTCTTAAATTGATAGAAGAGAAATCTCTTTAACACTAGGTTTATATTTCTTATATACCTATCTTTATGAACAATTACATACTTATCTTTACGTCAATTTGACGAACGAATACATTTAAAGAAAAACCACTTAGTAAGCGATATAATTAAACACTACAAGAAATGAAAATATGAGATATTTATAGAAAGTTTTTATTATTCGATAATATTTTAGTACATTACTTTAATATTCTACATTCATATTTTTACTTCCCTCTGCCCTGCGAACTGCGATTTGTACTGCGACCCCGGGTCCGAACCCGGCATACCGGCTGAGCCGACCGCGTACGACCCCGGACTAGCGAAGTCCGTCGTTTATAAGGTATTGTCGGTGCATTCATATTTATTATTGTTGTAATTTTTGCCTGGGTAAAACTAATTTACTAAAAATTTTATTTACATTACGATCGCGTGAAATTGACGCACATCCGTAGAGATAGATATACCACATAGCAAGTTTCAATATTTCAAAGCTTTTGAAGAAAATAGACTTCAAAAGAGAATCGCTAAGCAGCGACACCGTGCAAGGGCTCGTTCTCTCACGCTTGCATTCCGCTCAAAACTATTTGAGTTTCAGCTGAAAAACGCGCGTGCCCCGTAACTGAACCGTGTTTCCACCCTAACTTTCCACGTTCTGTTTATTTGGAGCGGGTCGTTGCTGATTTGTTTGCGCTCGCCGCGTCATACGAAATTTTACCGAGCTAAGCACACACTTTACCGGTTTGCACGCGTTCGACAATTTATATTTCCCTCCTTTTTCTCGCTTTGTCGCTTCCGTTCAAACAATGCGGTATCCGATACCATATTTTTGCGGTGTATTCGGGGACTGTAAGTCATATTTAACTTAGGTGATAAAATTTTCTTAAATTGATAGAAGAGAAATCTCTTTAACACTAGGTTTATATTTCTTATATACCTATCTTTATGAACAATTACATACTTATCTTTACGTCAATTTGACGAACGAATACATTTAAAGAAAAACCACTTAGTAAGCGATATAATTAAACACTACAAGAAATGAAAATATGAGATATTTATAGAAAGTTTTTATTATTCGATAATATTTTAGTACATTACTTTAATATTCTACATTCATATTTTTACTTCCCTCTGCCCTGCGAACTGCGATTTGTACTGCGACCCCGGGTCCGAACCCGGCATACCGGCTGAGCCGACCGCGTACGACCCCGGACTAGCGAAGTCCGTCGTTTATAAGGTATTGTCGGTGCATTCATATTTATTATTGTTGTAATTTTTGCCTGGGTAAAACTAATTTACTAAAAATTTTATTTACATTACGATCGCGTGAAATTGACGCACATCCGTAGAGATAAGTATACCATATAGCAAATTCCAATATTTCAAAGCTTTTGAAGAAAATAGACTTCAACATATATTTACCTCGTTCAATGGATAAAAGTCGGTACAGTAAAATAAAAATGCGAACGGTTTTTGTAATTTTCCTAAAAAAAATTCGAAATGCGTCAAAATGATGTTTGATATATCAAATCAATATATTTGCAAAAATTCTTCATGTTTCACTGAAAAATTGTAGTATAATACAAATTCCGTTTGAAGAGTCACGTCTGATATACGATAAACTTGCTTTGTTGAAACAAATCTTAATTTGATTGAATACAGCTGCTTGCGTTTATAAATTTTAACTCCACACCATATAATATTTTTACGTTCCACAAAGAATTTTAGTCCAATATAATACAGATATATTCCTTTCCATTCTTCACTCCAACATTCTATCCTGATATATTATTCTACTTTCTACTGTCTGCAAGAGTTTCGTCTGACATAACATGCTCTTCTTCCACTGCATTTTAAAATTCGCTCCTCTACAAATACACTTTATATTTCTTTTAAAAGTTCTGATGTAACATAGTGCAATTACTTTTATTGTATTTGGAGATACTAGTGTGATGTAGGACGTATCTTATTCAGCGTTACCGATTATTATTAAAAATGCATTAAACAGTTAATGCATTAGTACATTAATTATAGGACATACATTTATTACGTTTTTTTTTAATTTATTTAAACATATATTTTTTATAAATTGTGTTATAGTATGAAATAAGTAAGAGAGAGTAAGTATCTTTGTTATTAAATAAAAATACAAATTTTTTCAATTGTCAGTTTCTATTATTTAAAAGTTCTCTTGCCAAAACAAAATTGTTTCACACTCCTATTATTTTAATATTCGCAAAGTTTGAAGGTCATGGAATGCTAGACAGAATAGTTAAAAAGTCCTAAACGTTCGAAAGACCTGAAGTCTCAAAAGTCATGTTACCAACGCAATTAACGAATTAATTTTATTTTAAAAAATTAATGTTCATTTAATATTCATTTCATTAAAATCGTTTTGTTTAAAAGTTAAAATCGTTTGTTTAATAATTAAAATCTTTTCGTTTGAAATTCTTGAATCGGACGGCCGAACCGATTGGAGGGGGGAGCGTGAACGCGACGGTAAGAGTCGAGAACGGTAGTCTTGATAAGGACGCCGAGCGGTGAGGAGCAGGTATCGAAGAATGGGAAGGTCGGATACGACCGATCCGAGTCGCTCGTGTTTACCTACTTTTCTTTTCGTATCTATTTGATTTTACGTTATTGTAGACGGTCCCTGGCTGCTTGGACTCGTATGGAAAATTAATTTTTTATTTTTATTAATTTTTGGTACTCGGTTCTCGTGCACCTAACTCTGCTGCGTAATCATTGGATCCTGGCTGATTGATCTAATGGCACGCAGTTATATTTTGAGGTGAACCTCGCAACTGGTGCCCTGCGAGGTCGAGAACCTGAGTAAACTCGATGGCAAGAGTTATGGTTTTGTAGCGCGGTATCAGTTAATTTTTCGGAATAATATCCTTTTTATTTTGACATTGGTGTGAGTGCGACTCGGAACGGTTGTATTAGTGGCCCATTCATTCGAATTGGAAATCCAGTGCTGTAAACATACTTTATATAAGTTACGAATAAATTTCTTAATTACATTCAATAAAATGTGTTTTGCCATTGCCCTCCTGATCCCTGTCCCTTGCGCCCGTGGGTCGATCGTAACCAGTCATGAAGTTTCAAAGTCATGAAATCTCAAAGTCTCAAAGTCTCAAAGTTTTAAAGTCTCAAACTCTCAAAGTCTCAAAGTCTCAAAGTCTCAAACTCTCAAAATCTCAAAAGCTTAAACTCTCCAGTGCCAAAAAGCTCAAAAGCTCAAAACCTCAAATTCTCAAAGTCTTAAAGCCCTGAAGTCCCAAAAATCTCAAAACCTGAATGATCCTAAAATTCCCAAATTCCTCAACTCCTAATCCTACCAGAATCCTCCAACTCGAATCCTAAATCTCTCAAATCTAACGACGCCAAAAAACCGTAACGTCCAAACGTCCCAAAACATTCAAAAGCCCAAAACCTGCAAAACACAACTAAAAAATCCACAACACCCGTCCTACAAAGAACGTTCATCGCCCATCGTGTCCCAGTAACCCGATCCTCGTTTCCTGAGTGAAAAATCGCGCGAGTGTTCGAAAGTGGTTCCATCTGGCCAAAATCGTAGTCGCATCGCGTCTCTCCAACGCTTCAGACAGAAAACATCCAGCAGACGCCGAGCGGCTGAAACAACCGATCAGCCTAAGTTCAGGGATGTTCCTTCGCGGACAAGTGGCTGCCATTATCAGGATTGCAGCCGTTGCATTAGTTGAGAAAGCCAGCCTGTACACACTCTCATCGAGATAATGCACCCGCTAAGTGGATCCTCCATGCGTGTTGCGACTCGCAGCCTATCAATCTTGATCTCGAGCTTGCATCCACGAACGGTTCTGTATTCGAGACACGTGTGCGTGGAATTCACCGGCGCCGGGAACGTATTAACATCCGCGGACGAGCAAAGTGCGATGTGCATGTGTGCGTT